CTCTCACTCGTGTGGAATGTTACTTGCTCATGTAGTTTTATTGCTTGAACGACCACATGGTTTTCTCCTTTATTTCATATAACCAATAGCTATTTCTTCGGCAATTCACATGGTCATTTGTCTCCTTAGGCTTTTATGGTGACTTTGTTTTTTTTTTCTTTGGCTTGGGTCTCTTTGCTTCAATTTGTCATTTTTCTTACAAAACCCAAAATTGTTATCTTGATCTTAATTCCCTAAATATAATATAATAAGTACCAAAAAGTTCAATATCAAATAGCATAAAAGTTATGTAAATTATACACTTATCATAATAATTTAAGTATATATGATCAATTTATAAATTGAATGTTTGAATTTTTTATAATTGATGTCTCTCTAAATTGAAAGTTTTTTCTATTTTATTCTTACTTATAATTTGGCCAATCAAACACAATCCACTTTTTGAATAAATAGAATTAATTATCTAATCTTTAAAGTTCAATCTGGACTTGCTTCTATTGAAAAAATTGGTAAAAACAATATTATAGATTAAATTTGATGAGTTTTACTACCATCATGCCATTTAAGGCACCCTAGTGTCCTTAAACATACGAGCGCACATAATGCAAGGCTAATCTTGACACGACACTAACTTCTCAAGTCGTGAAGCTTTTTCAAGAATAGGAGAATTGTTCTCCGAGGATAATCTAGTTGAGCATTCACTTATATCTATATCTACGAGGAGACAATGACTTATGTTCTCAACCTTCAAAAAATCGAAGATCATCGATGTGATTCCGAAAACATCTTTGGGAACTATGGTGCACCTCGGACTTAAGACTATGAGTTGAGGAAGATTATCAAACATGGCATTTGCAAATTCATAATCAAAAAGGGTCATTACTTTGAGTTCGGTAAGGTCCGGGCAATTTATATGTCATTAGATAAGGAAAGAAAGGGCTAGCCGACCTATTTTAAATCTTTACTTTTTAGAGCTACTAGTATGATCTACTAGTTGTATCATAATATTAGTTTCTTTTAATGGTCCTAGATTTAGTGAAGCATAAATGAAATATGGCATAACATTCATTGATGCTCCTAAATGTAGTATAGATTGCACTATCCTAACGCTACCAATTCGATAAGGCATTGAGAATATACCCGGATCCGTGCATTTCAAAGAGATTTTTCTTTGAAAGATAGTAGTAGCATTTTCTCCCATCCTTTCCTTTTCATTCATACCAAATTTCCTCTTATTTGTGCATAAGTCCTTTAAGAACTTAGCATACCTTGGTATCTATTTGATCGCATCTAAGAGAGGTATTTTAACATCGGTGATGTGAAATAGCTTGAATATCTTCTTATTATTTTCATCGGCTCATCATTTCTATGCTTTTCTAACCTACTAGGAAATGGTGTATGGTTAGTTGTAAACCGAATGGAAGGGTCGAATTTACCTTACAACTCGATGTTGTCTTATATATTTACTACTCTCTTCTTTATTTTCATCTCTAACTCTTCTTCCTTAGCTACCCTCAACACTATCTTGCTCAATTTCTCTACTAAAACACCACTTCTCAACTTCATAAAACTCAAATTTTTCTTTGGGGTTACCATTGGTAATTTTCTTTCGGATTGAGCCACTAAATGAATCACGATAGTCGTCATCTAACTCATTTGGTTTTTCAAGTTCTAAATGCTCGACCTCGTCTCTTACTGAAATTGCTTTACATTTAAAGTAAGAGACTTCACTATCTTTTTCAATAACTAATTTGAGTTTAAGGGAGCATATTTTTTATAAGGTTTGGGTTAATAGCCCCGTTGCCTTTACTAATAGAAGTTTTACTCTCCTTATTGTTACCTCCATAGTCGATTTAGGTGACCTCTCAAACCCAAATTGTAGGTGCTTGGAGAATGAGTCATAGGGCCTAGAATGATCACCATCAAAATTTCTAGTAGCATGAACTTGTTCAATGTGCCCCTCTTAGAGTGTTGGTCATGCATCGGCGGTGTGACTTGAAATTGAACAAATTCCATAAGCTTCCATGGCTTATAGATTTTCCATGGCCATTTATCTTACTAGTGAAGTTAAGTCGGACATTTGCTACTCCAAGTTGGATATGTTGACTTTATTTACTCTATTTGGTACGTGATCAACCCTCACACCAAATTGCTAAGAATTCACAACCATGTTAGATATCAATGTTCTTACGGCATCGTGGGTCTTGTCTACCAATGCTCCTCCACTAGCAGTATCAATCATACTCTTCTTCATAAATAATAAACCTTTATAGAAATATACAATTAGTGAATGGTTAGAGATCCGATGGTGTGGGCGACTAGCATACAACTTCTTGAATTGCTCTCAATACTCGTAAAGTGTCCCTCCATTAAATTATATGATACCACGGATCTCCTTCCTTATACTAGCAACTCTTGATGCGGGAAAATATTTTAATAAAAAGGCTAGTTTCATCCTATTTCATGAGTCAATTGATCCCATAGAGATCATATAACCAGACCCTTTACATTCATATCCAATGAAAATAAGAATTCTCCTAGTTTAATTTGATGTTCGATACTCTTTGTGGTCTAATGGTTAGGTAAACCACATATAATTCCTTCAAATGTTTATGGGGTCTTCTTTAGCAAAGTCCTAGAATTTAGGTAATAAGTATATCGGTCCCTACTTCAACTCAAAAGCCACATCTAGATTCGGGAACTCTATACATAAGGGCTACCGATTAAGATCAAGAGTAGTCGACTCCTTTAAAGTTCTATTTCAGCCATCACCTCTCCTTCTAAGTCACTTGATGATAAAAAAAATTAAGAACTATAGTTATGCCAAATGAAGCAAAAATTACCCTTTCGTTTTTCTCAATCCTTTCTATTGAAACTTGTCTAGCTTCTCTTCTCAACTTGTTTAATACTCTTTCTAGTTCGAGGTTGAAAAGTAGGTCACTTGTTTGAGACCCGGTCATAGACCAACCTGATATGGACAACAAGAACAATTAGAATGTCAAGAAACAATTAACTTGAGTGCAATCTCTTCGTTAACGATGCCAAAATTTGATGCTCGTGTCGTACTTGTCAATAGATTAGATTGTATTTATATTTCTTACAAAACTCAACTCGCAAAAATATAGATAGGACAAAAAAAGGTCGAATCCATAAGAAAAATGGTCTAATGAATGGTTTCCTTTGGTTGATTGTTTTAAAGTGCAATGGAAATAAAAAAGGGGGGTTAGTGTGTATGGAGATTTGTAAAGCAATCAAAAGTAAATAGAAATAACAATAATGAGAAAAACCTTAGGTGAAGATTAGTATTCACTTTTGGTTTAATCACCGATCATTGATTCAAACATTAACCTATTCCTAAAATGAATATTCATTGTATGACAACAACATGTATGTTGTCCTCAATCTTTCGTTACTTGATTCGTTAACCAAATAGACATTATATAATTAATCCTTAACTATTGAACAACCTAGTAGACTCTAGCTAAATTTAATCCAATATAACATTAAATTAGAAAAAGACAGGAGAAGCTAAATAACCTTTCTAGATGCTAGAAAGATTTAATTTAGTTTTATGTTTTTCTAAGGGATTAAAAAATCTAAGGGATTAAACAAAAATACATTTATAATCATTAACTTCTAGTTACTACGACATGCAAGTTTAAACAAGCAATTACACATACTTAAATACATAGCTAGCAATAGATTATAATGATCAAGAAACTAGCATGCACTCTAATCAATTAATTACACAATCATACTCAAATAACACGAGAAAAACATAAAATACTAAAAAAGAATAAGTTTACAATTAGAATCCATTAAGATCTCACAATGATTTTACCAAAAGCTTCAACTTTTCTTTAACCAAGATAGATGTTTAGTAACTCATGACTGATTACAAGAGAGAATTTCCTATCTTGGGGTGGTCGCTGATAGGAGAGTTTTTTACCCTAGTCTCACTATTTATAACTAAAAGTAGAGTTATAACACACATGTCGAGTTCCATATAGCCACACGAGTTGTTTAATAAAGACACACGGATTGCGGCTTTATCTCACATGGTTGGAGCCTTGGAGAGCTGGAGTTGCACGATTTGTTGGATAGAGGCAAACACCTGTATGCTTTTTGTACTCCATCTCATGTCTTCTTTTTCTTTATCTCTTGTTGTTGGCTTCTACCCATATGGAATTTGCACTTCATCCTGTGTCGGTATCTTCCGTCCGTGTGCCTTTGTTGCTTCATTCTTTGGATTTCTTCTAGCTTTGACACACACGAGCGTGTCTCTTTTTCAATGTATACCGTGGATTGCTACTGCTCGTAAGTTATTTCTTTCCTCTTGGAAGATATCTCAACCTTGACATACACATGGTCGTGTCACTTTTCTAGCTCTCGTCGTGTGGAATGTTACTCGCTCGTGTGGTTTTGTTGCTAAACAACCACATAGTTTTCTCTTTTGTTTCATACGGCCGGTAGCTATTTCTTCTTGTAATTCACATGGTCATGTGTCTCCTTAGGCTTCCTTAGTGACTTTGGCTTTTCCTTGCTTTGGCTTGGGTCTCTTTGCTTCAATTTGTCATTTTTCTACAAAAACCAAAATTGTTATTTTGATCTTAATTTCCTAAATATGGTACAATAAGTATCAAAAAGTTCAATGTAAAAAGCATAAAATTTATGCAAATTATATGCTCATCATATTAATTTAAGTGTCTATGATCAATTTACGAATTGAATGTTTGATTTTTTTCCTAAACTGAAGTCTCTAAATTGAAAGTTTTTTTCTATTTTATTCTTACTTATAATTCGGTCAATCAAACAAAATCCGTTTTTTGAATAAATAGAATTGATTATCTATCTCTAAAGTTGGATCCGGACTTGCCTCTACTAAAAAAAATTGGTAAAAACGCTATTATAGATTAAATTTGGTGAGTTTTACTACCATCAAAATTCATGCCATTTAAGGCACTCAGTGTCCTTAAAATACAGGCGCACATAATGCAAAGCTAATCCTGACACGACACCAACTTCTCAAGCCGTGAAGCTTTTTCAAGAGTAGAAGAATCATTCTCCCAGGATAATCTAGTTAAGCATTCATTTATATCTGTATCTACGAGGAGACAGTGACTTATGTTCTCGACCTTCAGAAAATCGAAGATCATCAATGTGATTCTGAAAGCATCTTTGGGAACTATGGTGCACCTCGGACTTAAAACTTTGAGTTGAGGAAGATTACCAAACAAGGTATTTGCAGATTCATAATCAAAAGGGTTCATTACTTTGATTTCAGTGAGGTCTGGACAATTTGTATGTCATTAGATAAGGAAAGAAGGGGCTAGCCAGCCTATTTTAAATCTTTACTTTCTAGAGCTATCTAACAGTTATCCTACAGCCATTGTCCCCATATTCTAATTATACAACATATGCGACATCTGCGTAGAGAGTAGGTTCTTATGATAGCTTTCTTATTGTTGGCTATCTGGACTAGTTTTTGTCTGTAGAAGACCAAGGGAAACATTATCGCTTAGAAGGGTTAGAGACGAGTGATTTCAAATTCTAGATAGCCAGCCGGAATCTATTCTCTGTAATTTGGTTCCAAGCTGGCAGAACGAGTTGTTTAAGGTTGGGACACTTGCGAAAAAGCGTCAGCATGAGTCATAGATTCTCACCAGATAATTTTAGTTTCAAAAATGAACTTCACTTTTGGGAAGTCATAGCAAGAGACAAGACCTTTCAGCCTTAGTCAACAGTGCTGCCACTGAGAGTTAAAGCTTTGTTCAGAGCTTGCATCAACCTCCAACTCGGCCGGTTATCACGACATGCCTAAAGCTCTTGTGGATTGACAATGGGAACAGTTAGTTCTGCTAAATCAATCGTATGCCACAGCATCGGGTCGTAGCACGCAGCGTGCCATTAACGACATACTTCAAAAATGCCCAAGACGATATCCGTAGTGCTAAGGGACATGAACATTTTCACTAGTATGTCACATCCTAGGGCAGCCCAGTTCCGGTTCTCATCCAATCCCTTGAATTGTTTGTTCTCCATTAGACAGAAGAGCTTACCTGCATTATGCAGCAATGATGACATAGCAATCATGAAACCCTTTTTTTTATTATTAGTAATTAATCATCTCAAGAAAAGAGAATGAGAGGGCTCTGGCTACAACTACTACTGAAACTGCAGTCAATTTACTAGCAATTCATTAAAAACCATTAAAACAACAGCTATGAACTTATAATTCATCACATCACATGCATCTTTGCGCGTTCCAATTATATTTCCTTGTTAAGTTTAAACGTCTTGCCTGATTTTGCATGATTAATGTTCCCTGTTGATTTATTTATCTAACTAATCGATCAAAACAATACAAAAGCCAAATGCAAAGCATTCCAGATATTAGGCATTTGTCTACTTAGACAGACATGGTTTCAGAATTGCATATCTGTCCAGTAGGAGTTGATGTCTACTATACTGCCATTCAAAGTTACATAGGAGTTGATATAGGCATCTAATTGGAAAGATATTAGCTTCAGAGAACTAGTTATTTCTAAAAATAAAAATAGTAATTGATTTGCAATCTAAAACTTACACAATTGTCAAGATTTGTTCCTTCCAAACGTTGACCTGCAGGTTGACAATTACGAATTATTATTTGGAATACCTTGACAAAAGATGGAACATATTCAATACAGAACAAAGAAAGCATTGTGAAAAAGGTATAAATTCATGCAATAATAATCTCAGAGGCTACTATTACCAATGATATCTCCACAACCCTTACGAATATTCAGCAGTCATTTTATGAAATTGAGTATTAAACTATTAATTGTTAGGAAATAACAACTTATAAACCTCAAAGTTTATACTAAAAAACCAGCATCTGATCTGTTTTATTTTGTCATTTTGCTCATTAGGCAGATAAACTTAAAAATTTAAATCTTAGAAAGCCTAAAAAAAGAATCAGCTATTGAATATCTGATTCAACTTTCATACAAACAAGAATGGAGTAAATAAGCAAAACTTTTCGCCGCCCCGCGAATAGAGATAGATCAAATTCAAAACAACAAACACAACCTGTTGGAAGAATATTGAACTATTTGAATACTGAGGTATTAAGACTAAATCAAAATCATTTTGAAGCACTTGAACTTGATATTCTCACCAGAATTTTCTTAACATCAAGAGCCAAACAACTGCATATAGATCTTTAAATTTATAATCAGATCCACTATACTGGTCTGCAAACTGAGAGTACCTTTTAGTCATCAAATAACAAAGCAACTATATAAAGACTAACATAAATATTAGAAACCCTTTGGATGTTTATCTATGATAAAAAAGAAATCCATTAATTTCAAGAAGATAGAAAAGATGGCTTAATTTTGCCAAACTTTTATCTGCAGAACTGCATTACTAAATCTTGTATGTAAGTTTTATATCACTCAAAAATTGGATCTATCTAGTCACAAGAAAGATAACAAAACCCCATACTTCAAATTCTTTTGGACACTTTGCCACATTTCCGTACCATCCTCCATCTCTGTACTCTAATTACTTCCCTTCCTCTCTGTTGTATAGATGTATGGTTTTTTTTCACTCTCTTTCCTTTGCAGACATAATTTCCAGTGCTATTTTATGGTATTCTTATGTATTTGAAAACTTCGATGAGTAGGATTCTGCATTTCTAGCCTTGTTGGCTAGTACTTGTCAGCAAAGAAGCTCAAGCAAAAATAAAGAAACATTGTTTTCTTATGAAACCAGTAATTGGATCCATTACCTGATCGAATTATCACCCACACCACCCCCCACCTATACATATATTATTCTGAACTGACCCATCCCTGTTAAGCTTATATTCCTCCAGGTTTGGAGGGGTTCGTCTGACCCAAACTCCATTATGGACTTTCACCATGATCAAAGGGAGACCAATCCGTAGGAGTCGTGCAATCCCAAGGGATGAAGACGGCTTTTTAGGACAATAAGTCATGCAGACGTCAGATAAATGAGTGTGTATTTGCAATAATCCTGTCCTCCGACATCGGGATATCATCATATCTAGATCGACACTTGGATTTTCAAATCTCCCATAAAATCACCAAAAATACCGTCACTTGACATATACCTGCCTGTGTTTTTGTAGCACACATCCATAAATGGAACAAACAGCTCATAGAGATATGGTTACTATTGATCCCAAGAATATTGCCGAAATGGTTCCCTACAAAAAGTGTCATGTCTGACTGCATAAATAAATGATCAATCGTTCCTCCTTGTGATTCCGGCAGCATTTACATTGCGATACCAGGCGGATTATGTGTAGCTCTTTGATTCTGTTATCTAAAGGAAGGGTTCTGTTTAGTAGTTTCCAAATGAAGCCACTAATCTTAGTAGGGTTACGAGAAACCATACCTTTCGATACCATGGCATTGTCGGATGTTTCAGTCTCTTGTATTCCTAGTAGGCTTTAGTGCTAAACTCTCCAGTCCATTAGTTAAAGCTTGCTTCACCGTGAGTGCTCCATCCAAAGGCAAAGGAGGTTGCAACACCTCACCACACCAGTTAGCAGCCCAGAAAGGTAACTCCCCGCAGCCCACACTCCGGCAACTAATGGACTGCATGGTAGGAAAGTGAGACAGAACTGATCGCCATATTGGTGAAGGTCCAGGTTTCTCCCTTCACTGTGGTCAAGAATGAAGAAATACTCCTCGTTTTTCTTTTTAACAGAAGAAAATAAAAAGAGAATACAAAAACGATCCTACCCATCTCTCTACATGCAGTCATTGGGCTTTTAACCAGTTGTTAGTTTGCAACATAATCCATGAAAAAAAGATTAGAGCCTCTAGAAGTCTGATTCCTTTAACTGAATATAGCAACGCAAAACAAAATACAATAGGAGTTTTTAGAAGGCATTATTCAACTGCATGTGTTTAGGGGAATAACACATAAAAATCCTCATATGTCCCAAACACAACCTCTATACTAAGATCAAATGACGAAGGAGCTTAGCTCATTTTCTCGCCAAAGGCCCTCCTCATATTCATGCCATTTTAGACATCCACCATCCTGAATCATATGTGTGCAAATCATGCAAGGCTCTTCCTGACACAATAGGAACTTCTCAAGACACGAAGCTTTTTCCAGAATTGAAGAGTCATGCTCCCAGGATAATCCAGTTGAGCATTTATTTATATCCGTATCTACAAGGATACTGTGAGTTATGTTCACAACCTTCAAATGATCGAAGAGCATCAATGTGATTCTTAAAGCGTCTTTATAAACTATGGTGAACCTCAGACTTAAGACTCTGAGCTGAGGAAGGTTGATAAATAAGGAAGTTGCAAAGTCATGATCAAAAGGGGTCATCACTTTTAGTTTAGTGAGGTTCGGACAATTTGCCCCAATTTTCTGTAGAAGGCGAATCGGAAAATTGATATCACTTGGAAGAGTCAGAGACTCGAGCGATTTCAAATTTTGGATAGCCTGCTGGAATCCAGTCTCTGTAATCTGGTTCCAAGCTGGCAGAACAAGCTGTTTAAGGTTAGGACACCTGCAGAAAAGAGGTCAGTATTAGTCAGATTCTCACCAGAAGATTTTCATTTCAAAAATAAACCTCGCTAGTGGAAAGTCATAACATGGGCCAAGACCTATCAGCTGCAAACATCAAGTGTTCGTCCCTGATATACGAATAAAAATGAAAAATCAAACGAGTCACAATGTTGCCACTGAGAGTTAATGCTCTGTTCAGTGCTTGCATCAACCTCCAACTCGGTCGTTTATCGCAACATACGTAAAGCTCTTGTGGATTGACAATGGGAACTGTCAGTTCTGTTAAATCAACTGTATGCCACAACATACGGTCGCAGCATGCAGCACGCCATGAAGGACAAACTTCAGAAATGATTGAGATAATATCCATAGAACTAAATGACATGAATATTTTAACTAGCAAGTCATATTTTAGTTTAGCCCAGTCACGGTTGTCGTCCAAGCCTTTGCAGCGTTTTTTCTCCATCAGACAAGAGGTCACCTGCATTATGCAGCAACAAGACGTAGCAATCAGTATTTTTTATTATTTTTTCTTTTTATGTTTTGCTAGGATAATAAAGTATCACTTCAAAAACATATACTTCTTGCTGAGAATGTATTCGATTTGTAATTACTGTCTCAAGAAAAGAGAATGATAGGGATCTGGTTATAACTAACTGTAAAACTTCAATCAATTTACTAGCAACTCATTAAAAAGAATTAAAACACATCTATATGAACTTCTAATTCATCACATCACATGCATCCATTAAACCAGTAATATTTCCTTGTTTCTTGCACGATTGGTCCCTCATCCTCAATCAACTGCATGTAAAAAACTTCCAGTACAGACTATACTGCTATTCAAGCTATATACGGGTTGATATAGGCATCCAGTTGGAAAAACATTAACTTGTCCGAATGAGATATTTCTAGAAAGATATTTTCTATCACAAAAAATTAGTAATTGATTGCAATCTAAAACTTACACTAGGGTTAAGTTCTCTTCCTTCCAAATGTTACCCTTTAGGTTTACCATTACAGATTATTGTCCGGAATTCTTGACAAAAAGGAACATTTTAAATAAAGAAAAAAGAAAGCATAGTGAAAAGCTACAAATTTAAGCACAATAATCTCAGAGGCTACTGTTATGTATGATATCTCCACATGCAGCATTACCTGAATGATGCTCGCTTGTATCTTTGGTGCATGTATCTCATGCGTGCCCATATTGTTAACGCATGATTATTCTATATTCAAAAATTTACTTCACATTTTCTCTCTAGAGTCTAGATATAATGTAAAATAGCTTTAAAATCATACAAAATATGTGGAGAATGCAAACTTAAGGAATACTTCGAGAATGCTGTCATCTTGGTGGATTCCAGTTGTAATACTTCTACTATTTTCAATTCACATGCCAACCGCAAACGAAATTTACCAAGGGGAGGCATGACTCATGAGGTTCTTCAATAGAGGCATATTATGACAGGCGCTGTAAATTTCTAATTTAGTTTGCTGACATGCATGTGGACTTGTGGTCGATGGCCAAAGGGCCAGCCAAAACCCAAAACTATGTAATGCCATCTACAAAAGGCTACAAAGTTTAGGGTAAATGAACTAAATCCTTAAACTACTTTTTCTAATAATCTTTAGATGGGCGTATCCTAAAAGATTTGTAATATGTTGAATTTGGAATAGGAAAAGAAGTTGAGAATAATGAAACTTCTTGCAGCGTTGTCTAATGCAGTGTGTGCTCAAAGGGCTCAAATACTTTGTTTAAGAAGACTGGAGTTTAATAATATAGATGCCAGATTTGATAATCTAAGTGACCTCAAGAAGCCACCTCCTAAAAACCTTTAAGAATACTCCGCAGTCATTTTCAAAAATTGGGTATTAATTAGGACAATTTTACTTGCAAATGTACAGGTCAGAATCTTATGTCTTGAAGAATTTACGTACTCCCCTTTTATAGGAAATACTAGTCTGTAACTTTATGAAAACTGCTGCCGTTTTTCATAACAAATAAAAAATGGATTTCATAAGCAATGAAATCTATCTATAGATGGCAAACCATATCAGAATTGCCTATATTTTGACTCAAGTATCGAACAACGTATAAACCTTAAATTTTATACTAAAAAACGAGCATATGACCTGTTTTATTTTGTCATTTTCTCACTAGGCAGATAAACTTGAAAATTTAAATCTCAGAAAACCTTAAAAAGGAATCAGCTATTGAATATGTGATTTAAATTCTATTCAGACCAGTATGAAGTATATGAGCCAACTTTTCGCACCCCGCGAATAGAGATAGTATCAAATTCAAAACAACAGACACAACCTGTTGGAAGCAAATTGAGCAATTTGAATACATGAGCTATTAAGACTAGATAAAAAATCATTTTGAAGCACTTGAACTTGATTTTCTTACAAACATTTTCTTAGCATCAAGAGCCAAACAACTGCATAGAGATCTTTAGATTTATAATCAAATCCAATATACTGTTCTGCAAACAGAGATTACCTTTTAATCATCAAATAACAAAGCAACTACGTAAAGATTGATGTCCAATATACCGTTCCGCAAACAGAGAGTACCTTTTAATCATCAAATAACAAAGCAACTACGTAAAGATTGATGTAAATATTAGCAGCCTGCAGTTGCTTTATCTATGGTAAAAAAGAAATTCAGGAATTTCAAGGAGATAAAAAGATTGCTTAATTTTGCCTAACTTTTATCAGCAAAAATTGCTTTACAAAATCATGTGAGTAACTTTTATGTCACTCAAAATGGGATCTATCGAGTCACAAGAAAGTTGACGAAATCTTATACTTCAAATATCAGGACCACTGAGTATGCAGTCAATCTGCCCTGCACAGCCAGTTGCACTCACCTCATTCTCCTATCAGATAAAATGAGAATGTTCTATAATAACTAATTGGGGTAAAAAAAAAAAAACAAAAAACAAAAAAAAATTACCTGTGAGAAAATCAAGAAAACTAAATATCCGTGGAGGAGAGGGCTAACCTTCCTTGAAGGAGTTATGCTTTTGTTGCTTTTCAGTTTTCTGTGCTGCTGGTGTTTGAGAGATGTGAAAGAAATGGGAAAAGTTCAGTAAATTTATAGTCCAAAACTTTGCTACAACAAAGAAACATACTGATAGTCCTCAGAAGGAATAAAATTAAAGTGAAACCAGGATGGGTCCACTTCAGTAAGAACCGAGTTAGTCTTATGGCATCCTTTTAACCATTTTCCACTAGTAGATTTGGTCTAATTGTATTTTGCACTAGTAGATTTGGTTTAATGGTGTTCTGCAATAGCAGATTTCGTCTAATGGTCTAATTAATTCTATTTAGCTGAACTTGCATGAATGCAACGATGTGGCAGAGAGTAAGAGATGCTCAAGTTTCTGCTGGACCTTGCTAACGTTCTCAAGAATCACAAATGTGCCAACCTTGTTAATTCAAATTGAAGGTATTCTGTTCACCAAGAAATGTGACTGAAGTTTCCGTCTTTCTTAGTCTTTTTCTATATTATTTTTTTGTTCGAATCAAAATCGCTGAGGTTTGAGATTTCAGGAGTTAAACTAGGTCTCTGGTTTTGAGTTTAGCATTAGGACTTCAGAAAAATGAAGCTTGCAAGAGATAAATGCTAGGTCTAGTCCTTTACTTGCAATGGTTATTAAGATACATATTTCTAGTTTAAAAGATAAACTTTCACTGCTGGATTTGCTCAAAAGATGCAGTTATTAAGAGATTGGATATGCCAGATTGAATTAGATTCTTTTGGATGTTTTGCCACATTTCCACACCATCCCCCATCTCTGTACTTTAATGACTTCCCTTCCTCTCTGTTACATAGTTGTATGCTTTTGAGTCTCTTTCCTTTGCAGATATAATTTCCAGTGTTATTTTGTGGTATTGATTTGTATTAATTTGAAAGGATTCTACATTCTAAATTTGGTTGGATTATTATGAAATCACAATTTGATCAAAGAAGAACCCTTGTATGTTTAGATACTGCAATTTGAATTCCAGTCCTATTGGCGTGGACATTTCATTGAGGGAATTAGAAGTTTCTGTGTGAGGGCAATTGTAGACCACAATGTCATCGGTGCTGTGCATGATTTTTTTTTTTTTTTAACAAGCCTATGCTGGTTGCTGGGTGGAAAGCAAGGATGTTAAAGAAAGCAAATTCAGTATCTTATTGGCTAAGGATGGAGTTCAAAATGCCTTCCATAAAATCATTTCTGCTTATTCAAAGATTTCAGAATCTTGAACCAATAACTATCAGAGTAATTACAGGAAAATGTGTGAGAGAGAGAGAGATTACACATCAGACCCCTTCCATTTTCTTTTCTGTTCCATCTCTCTCTCTCTCTGTTCCATCTCTCTCTCTCTCTCTCTCTCTCTCTCTCTAACTTTCTTTCTGGAAAGATTAACAGATCAGATACAGGTTATCCTACCATATGTTCCTTCCTTTTTTAAGCATGCCAGGTTAGCCTCTTACAACCGGGGGAAACATTTGAAGTTTATTTCTTTTTTCTTTCCGTAGTTGAGAAAAACAGCAAAACAATGACAATGCAAGACGTAGAGGTTTAGTCGTTTTGGTATTTTAATGATCCAACACTTTCTCCAATTTTATTTTTTAAAAAACATTCCGGTATCTGCTCGTAATATATTCTTGTGAAGATAATTGCATCATGAGTACATTAATTTTAACTTTTTTTTCAGTTCAACTTTAACTTTTTTTTTCATTTAAATATATTAATTTTTTTCAAAACTAGCAATTGAGTATTTCGTTAATTTTTCTATTAATTAATTACATATTCATTACTCTTAAAATACTAAATTATAATTTTTTTTAATAAAATATATAAATTTTTTTTTTTTCATTTGAATATATCAATTTTTTTCAAAACTACTAATTAAATACTTCGACAATTTCTTCATTAATTGATTGCATGTCCAAATACAAAATTAATTTTTTTTCCTTTTTTGTTGTAAGAACCCTCCCTAGATTATTCTATAGTTTTAAAATTTAACAAATAATTAAAAAAAATGTATTTAGTAATTATAAAATTTTAAATTAAATTCGATTAGACTTGCTATTTTGAGCATGAAAGTTAAAAGAAACACAAACATGAGATTTTTTATAAAAAAAAATTAACTTGTGTTTTCCTTAAATTTTCACTCTTAAACCTTACTTGAGTTTATTATCATTATTTTTCTATAGCAATCTAACTAAATTTAATTTGAGATTTTATAGTTAAAAAATAATATTTTATAATTCGTTGTCAAATTTTGAAAATATAAAATAATTTGAAGAGAAAGTTTTCTTCAACCCAAAAAAAATATATATATATTATAATTTCATATTCTAACATGTCATCAATTAGTAGAGAAATTAATAGAAATGGTAAAATAATTTCGTACTCTAATATGTCATCACTTAACAAAGACATTAATAAAAATACTTGATTGATAGTTTTGAAAAAATTAATATGCTCAAATAAAAATAAAAATTAAAATTAATTCCTTGATTGAGGAAAAAAAAATTATAATTTGATATTCTGAAACTAACAAACATGACATCAATTAATTAAAAAATTAAGCTAAGTATTTAATTAACAATTTTGAAAATATTAGTACACTAAAAAAAAGTATATATAGTGGATTGAAAAAAATATATATATATTGGTGTGTAATCATCCCGATTCTTGTGCAATCAATTTGCATTTGAAGCGCCAAAGTATCTTTCAGAGATTTATCCACAAATACGAAGGTTCTATGTTTAAGTTACTTTTTCAGTGGTAATTTTCAACTCCCTGGATGCGCCTGTGTTTAAAAATGAAACCAAAGGTTTCAAAGGACACCCCAGCTGTTAAGATTTCGAATTCTCACTTGGAAATTGGAATCCTATACACCTATGGAAGGTTAGAGTGGGGATTAGAGGATGGGGGAGGGATATGCCCACAGTTTGCTTGTCCTCGTAGAACCAAAACAAAGAAAAGAGCATAAAAATGAAGGAAAAAGTGCTCGAGAAAAACGCAGCTTAAAGATCCCCAACAAATACCAACAACAGCATCACTGATATTACTAAACAACAATGTACAGGGTAAAAAGTGTGCATGCATCTGAGTGTATTTGTCTTTCTCAGCCCACTATCAAACTAAGGAACCCAAAAATTCAGATCATGAATACACTGCACTGGATGATACAACAGAGTGACCCATCAAAAGCACAATTACAAAGCTTAATAGCATGATGATTGAAGGCAGGAGCTAGACCTAGCACATATACCAGTTTTTTGTGGAATAAAAGTTGAACCTGGTGTTTCAGCACACGTTTATGATCCCTTTTTAACCTCAGCAATACTGTCCAGCAGCTTGCATGTATTAATGCTCCAGTAAGTGCTACCTCCGGATCCGTATACCAGGGATGTCTTTCAAACCCATCTTTAAAGCTGTTTTTCTGAAGAGGGAAGGAGGTTTTTGTAAGCCTATTGACCCAGAAAATTGGTTGGCTAGATCAACAAGCGTGGTTTTATTCCTTCCAATTTCTCTGATGGAGTTATAATAGCCTAGCCAAGCATGATATGCTCCTTCTTTGACACTACTATCAATCTTTGACATTGACTCCTCTATCTGCAAAATGTGAAGAGTATAGAATGGTTATACATATGAAACCTGCAAAATTGCATGCCCCAAAAACAAATAGATACAAGGGACTTAAACTCTAAAATACATGCATTTTGATGTTTGAGGGTAGAAAGCATTATAGGTGCACTTCAAATCAAGGTGGACTACATGTTTTAGTTACTTTCTATATCAGGACCACAACTATGCCCTTTTCTTATACAGTAAGGATCATCAAATGATAGAAATTCCATGGCTCTGCAACATAATGAATCCATCCTTAAAAATCTTGTTTAACAACTGAGGCAAACCATGAGGATGGCCTCCTAGAGCTTCAGCATGTTAATCGTGAATATACCACACATGCCCTTTGCACACTTTTTCTCTAAGTTCAGGTTCTTTTCTTTTTAATATCAAACCATAACTACAATCTCTTAGAATGCTGAATAAAAACATGAAGCACAAAAGAACCAATTAGAGCTAGTAATAAGTTAGGGAAGTACCTTAAGGTTAGTTTCTGAATCCATTTCTGGTGAAGGAAATTTCTCAAGAGGCAGGTCTTTTAACTCGTCCAGGAAATATTCTTCCCATGGTGCGAGCAATAAGATCCCTTCTCCATGTTTCCCTTCACGTCCTGTTCTTCCAAGCCGATGTATATATTGTTCACGATCATAAGGAATCCCCACCTGATTATTGTTAAAATTGATGCATTATTTTACAGTGACACAAAATAAGGCATTCCAATCAAGTACAGGGGAAAAAAATATACATAGTACTAGGTGTTTGAGATATACTGTCTACTGGGGCATAGTTGATTTGATATTTAGCAATTTACACCTGCAAAATATGAATTTATAATTTTCTCAGGAGTTGTTGTTACCTGAATGACTAAAGTAACATCAGGATAATTCATTCCACGAGCAGAAACATCAGATGTAACGAGAATCAAACATTTTGATTCCCGGAATTCATCAGAGACACGATTTCGATAGAGTTGAGGCTTTCTAGAATGCATCTCCCTTGCATTCATTTTCATTTCCCGGAGAAGTAGATACATGAGTGATGTTACCATCCCAGTGGTACAGAAAACAATAACCTGGAGCAAGTTAAATGTCCAAGACTCAGCCACGCACATTCCGTTTTGCAAATAAATGAAATCCAGAAACTACAGAATCTTACCTTATAATCAGGTGCCTTCAGGATATGCTCCTTCAGCAGATAGTGCACTACTTGAAAATGCAATTCGTGTGGAGTGACAAGAAAAGACTGCTTGATCTGTGGGAGCAGAAACAACGATTAATGCTTTTTGCTTCCCGATTTAGAAACAATCACAAAATCAAATGCCAAACAGTCCACACTATTTCACTAGTAGTGATTAGATATTTAATACATCAACAGTCATAGTCATTAAGCCACTGCTAGAATGTTCAGCCTGAGACAAACTCTGGACATTTTTTACAGGTAATATGATCATTTGCAACAACATCAATTAATCACCATCTGTGATTCCCTGATTGGTAATTTACCATAACAATTTCTTGATTTAAGGTATACCTTAGCAGGAGTTTCCACGCAACCGATGCCCACAGTATTAACGAAATCATGTTCCCTTTTCAATACAAGCTGAGAAATTCGACGAACCTGCATATGCATATTTAAAATCAGAATGAAGTCATGATAAAAAATAAATATAAAATAAAAATAAAAATCAGAATGAAGTCATGTAACACAATATAACTGCTTGTTTGACCCATGAACAAAGAGATGGGGAAAGATCTAACCTCTTTTGGAATTGTTGCAGAGAAAAGCAAGGACTGTCTCTGACGAGGCAAGCAATCTACAATTTTCTCCACATCCTTCCGAAACCCAAGATCAAGAAGGTGATCAGCCTCATCAAGTATAAGCATCTTCAATCCCATCAAATGCACAGATAAACCACCTTTATTCTCAATGTGATCCAGCAGCCGACCAGGAGTAGCAACAATTATCTGAAAAAAGTTCAAAGCATCAGAAAGTGATCTACATGCATCAAAAATGAAACACAGGAATAGCAACTACATATTTATTTCTTTGCCTTCTCCTTTCCCAAGCACATGCTATGAAATGGATCGAAGTTAAACTGGAAAAGGCACAAAAGCAAATGGGCAAACCTGGCAAGGATCAGATTCGAGGCGTCTTTGATCATCTTTAAAACGTGTTCCTCCAACTAGTGTTTGCACACCTATTCCATCATGGTACTTCAGCATAGCATTTACTTCTGCTGTTATCTGACTTGCTAGCTCTCTTGTGGGGCAGAGAATAAGAACATATATTGGAGGCACCCGTAGCTTGGCATTGCTACTTGTTGCCTTCAAAACTGCTTCAATTGCAGGAAGCTGTTTTTGTTTAAAAAAGGCACTGAAGGAAAGAAGCTGAAATACCATAAATTAATTTCCAGGAATTACAAGAGACTTGTAGTTTACCAAAAAAGCTGCACTTTTTCCAGTGCCAGTTTTGGCTTTGACCATAGCATCCTTACCTGCTCCAAATTGAAGTGAAAACCATCATTCAAACTTCAAAATGTGTAAGTATGATCATTTTTCCACATAATGCTTTCAATGTGTATATTAAAGACACAGTAATAAATGATGCATGGCTTGACTAGTTTCAAAAAAAAAAAGAGTCATGGATAATCAAAATAGAGCAAAGAGAGTATTTCTTTAGCATAACAACGTGGTGAAAGATATGCTACAAGCAGCCAAACACAATCATTGCATCACACACCCCAAAAATGAAAAATTTGACATGCAAGCGCTCACTAACAGTATTGGTCTACGCTGACTTTCGAACTAACAGACTGAATAGTTACAAGAAGCACTCATTACTGGAGATGAAACATAAAACACAGTTGGCATACCCTCAACGCAAACAGAAAGAGTAGCCTCCTGTACCCTTGTCATTTGAACATAACCAGCTGCTGTAAGTGCTTTGACAGTCAATGGAGACAGACCACATTCATCAAATCTGCAAAAATACATACAGCACAAAATCACCAATTAACAAATAAAACACAAGATCATTACATTTTACTCATTAAACCACAACCTCTTCCTTTTCTCTACCATAGACTGTCCAAAACATGCAAAGTTCTTCCCTTTACTTTTCCCATTATTTTCAAATCAGACAAAAATGAAGCACATTTGCCAACGAATGCTGAAATTACCTTGCTAGTAAGAGACCACGTAAAACCAAGACAAACCTTACCGTTTTTCGCCAAGAATTGAATCAACCTCCTCCTTATCCCCCTCATTTCCGGAAAACTTCTTCTTCCTCCCCAGCTCATATCTAATCAACTCCACTTCGTTCGCAAAATCATACTTCTCGAGCTCCTTCAATGGAACCCTTCTCGTCTTCTTCATGTCATACTTCCCTAAAGCAGCTCTACTCCCAATCTCCTTAGCACTCCTCCCTCTCCTCTCTCCCCTACCCTCCAAATCATCCTCATCATCACTCTCATTTCTCCCAAACCTCCTCTCTTTTCGTTTTTCAAAACCCCTATTCTTCATAAAATCACTCACATACCTGGAATTACTCACGCCCCCTCGCTCATTCCCTGAATCTCTCACAGAATTTTTAACTATGTTATCAACAAACCGATAATCTTCATCATCATCACTCGAAGAACTCTCATTTCTCCTAAACTTCCTCGGTTTCCGCACTGAAGTCTTAACAGAACCACCTGTAGACCCAAAATCTAAACCTCTACGTGTGGAATAATCTCTACCCTTTACATAATTGAACCCATTTTCACGATTCTGCGATACATTGCCCCCTTCTGCCATTAATTTTCGCAAATCCACAGGCGAATTAATAGATGCTGGCCGTTGATTAGTCCGAACAAATCCTGGCCGTTCATCTGAAGGAGATTTCACTGGCCCATCATTTTCATTCCACAAGTCTTCAGCTCCTTCTTTCATGAATCGATCAGCGAGGGCTTTGATGTGCTCTTTGGGGCTCATGGGATTGTACTTATTTGGGTCCGGGTCCGGGTTCGGGTTCGGGTCCGGTTGAGTGGCGAGTTTGTAACGGATTTGGGAACGCATCCGGGCTTGGTAGAGTTGTTTTTCTTGGTCAAGCAGACGTTTCTCTTTTTCATTGGCTTTTTTCTCGTGGAGGCGTTTCCATTGCCATTTGTTTAGACCTCCAGGGAAGGTTCGCGGTCCGCCACCCATTAGTCGAATGAAGATTCGGGTCTGGACTAGGTCCGATAAGGATTTGGAGCGGTGGAGGAGTGATGGATACATGATGAATGGAGAAGCGGAAATGAGAAGGGGTTTAGTTGGTAGGGTTTAAGAGAGGAAGGGCTTTGGATTTTATAGCATCTTTCTCAGAAAGACAAGTCCCTTATTTTTTAGAACAAACAAATGGGTCTCATAGAATGGAGTAAATTATAAATTAGCCCCACTAGTTTCAAAAAAACAAATTCATTAATCTCTCTCGCTTCAAAAACTAATTATTTAATCATTTTTGTTTATTTTTCAATTTACTTTTATTTTTTATTTTAAAAATAGAAAATAAATAAAAAATAAGTAAAAATATAAAAAGATTGATGGAAAAAAACATTTCGTAAAATAAAAAAAAATTAAATTATTCATAGCCAACACTAATTAAAAGAAACTAAATAATTAATTTTTTTAAACTAAAAAGACCAATTAATTCGTTTCTCAAAGCAAGATAAATTAATTTATGATTTACTTCATAGAATGAACTAATTTGTTGTTCATCATATGCTCCGAGAGGACGAGGGATTGGAAGAAATTATAAGTAAAAAAATTGTTATATAAATTGCAATATATAATTATATTTAAGTATGTTTGAGAACACTATAATATTTTCATATCAAATTGAGTTTTTTTATATATAAATTTTTTGAAAGCAAAACATGAAAGTTTCAATCACAAAAAGTATTATATCATATTCATAGTTAAAGCTGCATCGATTATTAATATTTTCTAAACATACATAAACTATGAAAGATTTAATGTTCGAGCAATATTGTTTAAAAAACCATTGAAATCGTAAAGTTATCTAAGTCAAAAATAACAAAGTACTTATTTTCTAAAACTTTAAAGGCGGTTATGGAAATAACAAAGGAAACAAAAACATTATAGGCATATAAGCGATCTAAACAACACAATCATATTTAGTAGGTCCGTGTATAGTTTCAAAAGGAAAAAACAACAACGAGGTTTCGTTCAATGATCTTTTAAACCATGATATTAATTGATATTGTTGTTGTATATCAACTCCATCAATTTGTCTCCTATAAAAATTAATCGAGTTAAAAGAGACGCAATGGATAAATTATTTTATTTAATTAATTCTTCCTTACCTTTTCTATAATTTTTTCTTTTTGAAAGAAAAAATATATGAGTTGCTTTTTTGTTTATGCATGGATCTTAAATAAAAAATTATAAGAATTTAAATAGGAAGTGTCAATCAAAAAGTCAAAAAAATATGTTTTAATATATTTTTTTCATAAAATTATATTGAAAAAAAATGTAACCATTAATTTAAAACATTGTATAAAAATCAAGAAAAAATATTTTTTTATTCTTATTGAATATTCATAAGATAATTAATTTTAAAAATATGTATATTAGATTTATATATATTTATCTAAAAAATAATAAATAATACTAGCATAAGAAAACTCTAATCGTATTTCAAAAGTATGATATTATTGTTTTTTTAAATATTATTTTAATTATTTAATTTCAATAGAAATTGATTTCAAAATATCTAATAAATAAATAAATAGTGAATAGTCATTGTTTTGTGTCTAGGTGCATAGTTAATTTTTAAAAAAGCTAATGATTTTTTCTTTTTAGACACTATAACTATGACTACACTTGAATGGGTATATGATGAGTATAGCCATTCTAACTTGGCCACGATCATTGGACTCGAATTTTATAATTAATGTATTTTTCTTATGCAATTCAAGTTATCTACTTTTGTTATGTGATTTAAGTTACCTACTTTAGGACTTTTATTTTTATAAGAATATTATTTTAGATTCTATAGTTGTTTAGGATTGGACTAGAATTAAATAATTAGTCTTAAAGGTGGATTGGACTTAGGTTTAATAGTGGGATTAGGTTAAAGTTTTAGTATTCCAAATTGGATAAGTTTTCTTTAGTTTTGGTGAATTTTTAGCGTTATTTAAAGTATCTTACGTCAAGTAGAGAAACAAATTTTATCAAGTAATAAATATTCTTGAGAAGTTTATCTCAATATTATCTTACATATCCTTATACTTTTGTTTAAGGTTTGTATGTGTTATCCTTATGCTTGCTTAGGATTTTTTTTTTTTTTTTTATGTATCTTTGAAGTTGATCACTCGATGTGGTGCTTCTTTTATTGATCAATAAGTTTTAGCCTAATCAAATTTAAGAGTTGGAATTTTCAAACTTCATCAATTCTTGTTTGGAAGATTAGTTAGCCTTGTGTTAGGGTTAGTTGAATTCTATTTCATCAATTTTGTAGGTGTTTAAGCTTCGGTTCCTTGACTCTTGAAGGAGTAGATTCGGCCAACAACAACAAAAGGTTGGAATATTTAATTTTGGTCTAAATCATCATAAAACCAATGTCAACTTGTTATCCGAGCTTTGATTGTTTATGCACTCGTCTTTAATAAGGTTTTATGATGATGGGATTAAAAAGACATCAAAATCAAATGATTGTGGCTAATATATAAAAGCATTTACGATGACTACATGAAGAGTTTGAATAGATGGTTCAAGAAACGAATAGTCAAAGGTTTAAAGTTGGTGATGAAGAGGAGATCCAAGAGGAGAATCCTTTCAACTATTATGAAACTACATCAACCTCCAAAAAGGGAGTATAAATGTAGTTTAGGAGTCCGATGAGGAGATACAATAATAATGCCATGATTTTAGTGTCAAGATGGAGATACCCAACTTTGAGATTAAGTTTAATTTAGATGAATTCAATGAATGAGGAAAGAGCCCATAAAGTCAATGCCCCAAATATAAAAAATTTCACATACTAATATATAATTTTGGGGCATTTCATCTCGACGAGAGATTTTACCCGATCATTGGCAATTATCATAAGATTTCACATACCTTTGGGCATCCTAAAACAATGTAGGCTAATAAAAACTTCACTCAAGCACTTTACGAGTTGTTCTATTTACATGGTAGTATCCATTAGTGGGTCTTGAATGGTAGTGATCTAGGATTTTTCATCCCTCCGAGTAGGACACACATCTCCTAATAATCGAGTCCGCATAAATCTTGAACAAATATGGATCCTCCCAAAGGTAATTCTTCAACTCGAAAAAGAATTTATTATTTGGGCGATGAGTGAGTCCTTTAGGAAGGATCTTAGCGACTAAATAATTAACGATATCAACAAATCAAGGGGTTTCAAGATTACTTACCTATTTAATGTTGTAGAGGCGTTCTTCTAGGAATGCATCATTGATTTTCTCTTCATCAAGTTTTTCCCAATGAGGGTTCTCCAATCGGGACGAGTGATCGCAGACCAAGTTCTCAACTCTCTTTTTATCCTTGATTTCTAAATCAAATTCTTGCAATAGCAAGATCCACCTAATCAACCCGGGTTTAGCATCTCGCTTGTTCAACAAATATCTTAATGCGGAATGGTCGGTGTAAATAACAACCTTGGACAAAATTAAATAAGGTCTAAATTTATCAAACACAAAGACTATAACTAGCAATTCTTTTTACGTAGTACTATAATTCTCCCGTGCATCGAGTCAAAGTTTTGCTAGCATAGTAAATGGGTTGAAAATGCTTATCTCTCGCATTGTCCAAGGACTCGTACCAACCGCAAAGTCGCTAGCATCACACATTAGTTCAAAAGGAAGATTCCAATCTAGGGCAACCATTATTGGCGCATTAATCAATTTTTCTTTCGAGTGTTAAAAGCATCTAAACACTCCTCAATGAAAACAAAAGGCACATCTTTCTCAAGCAACTTGGTTAAAGGCTTAAAAATTTTAGAAAAGTCTTTTATGAATCTTTGATAAAAGCCTACATGACCCAAAAGACTTCTAATAGCCTTAATCGAAGTTGGGGGAGGTAGTTTTTCAATAGTTTCAATTTTTGCTCTATCTACCTCAACCCCCCTTATAAGAGATTTTATGGCCTAAGACTATGCCCTCTTGCACCATGAAATGATATTTTTTCCAATTTAAAACCAAATTAGTTTCTTCACAATGTTCAAGCACTCTTTTCAAATTATGAAGGCATAAATCAAAAGAATTACCAAAAATAGAAAAATTATCTATAAATACCTCTATTATCTCCTCCACCGGATCATTAAAAATGGCCATCATGCACCTCTAGAACGTAGCAGGTGCGTTGCACAACTCGAATGACATCCTCCGTAAGCGAACGTACCATAGGAACATATGAATATAGTCTTTTCCTGGTCTTTTGAAGTTATAGGGATCCGAAAGTAGCTCGAAAGATCATCTAAGAAATAGTAATACATGTGTCTCATTAGTCACTCTAGCATTTGATCAACAAATGAAAGGGGAAAGTTATCCTTCCTAGTGGCATCATTCAACTTTCTATAGTCGATACACACTCTCCACTCGGTGACTGTTTTTGTTGGAATCAACTCATTCTTTTCATTCGGGACCACTATCATCCCTTCTTTCTTTGGAACAACTCGTACGGGGCTCACCCAAGAATTATCAAAAATAGGATAAATCACTCCTACATCAAGAAGTTTAATTACCTCGGCTTTTATAACTTCTTTCATGTTTGGATTGAGCCTCTTTTGAGGTTGCACCACTAGCTTAAAATCATGCTCCATCAAAATTTTATGAGTGCAAAAAAAGGGGCTAATTCCTCTAATGTCTAAAATTTTCTAAGCAATAGCTCTCTTATGCTCTCTAAGAACATTTAACGACTTTTCTTTTTGGTCCACCTTTAGCTTAGAAGAAATTATTATCGATAACTTTGAATTTTTTTCAAGAAATGCATATTCTAAGTGTTTCGATAAAGTTTACAATTCTAAGTTAGGTAGATCTTCAATTGAGGGTTTCGATCTCGTTTCTTTACCTTTGTTAATCTCCTCAAATGCCTTATTTCGAACAATGAACTTAGTAGCCTCTAGACGGGCTACTTGCTCAACTCTAATGGGGTCGTCTCCATCATTTTTCTCACCTTGAATAGTATACGACTCCAACGGGTCATCATACATAATTTCCTGTATAGATTTTGAAACTGCAAGTATCGACAATATCAATAAAATAACATTTGTCATCATGTTCAAGGTAGTGTCTCATAGATTTAGATATAAGAAAAGTTACCTCTTAATCCCCAACCCTAAGAACAAGTTTACCATCAACTAACATCATTAATGGCTCTAGTAGTAGCAAAAAATGATCGTCCTAGGATTAAAGGTATTTCCACATCCTCATCCATGTCAAGAATAACAAAGTTGATTGGGAAAATAAATTTATCTACCTTAACCAACACATCTTTAATTTTACCTCTAGGGTATTTGACGGATCTATCTACTAGTCGTAAGCTCATTCATGTTGGTTTAGGTTTTCCCAATCCTAGTTTCTTAAACATTTTATAAGGCATTAAATTTGTACTAGCCTTGAGATCGGCTAATGCCTTTTCAACTAACAAACTACCAAATGAGTAAGGAATAGTAAAACTCCCCGGGTTTTGTAATTTTTGAGGTAGCTTGTTTTGCGGGATAGTAGAGCACTCCTCACTCAATGCCACTATTGATAGCTCTTCTAGCATCCTCTTATTTGAAAGAAGTTCTTTCAAAAATCTAACATACTTTAGCATCCGTGAAAGGGCCTCAACAAAGGGTATATTTATATGCGAGTTTTTAAAAAGTTTAAGAAATTTACCAAACTGTTCATCCATGCGGTCCTTCTACAGCTTTGCAGGATATGGAATGGTAGGCTTGGACTCTTTCACTAGTCGAGGTTGCTTGTTAACTTTTTCCCGCCCTTTACCATTTTAATTGTTTTTTTTCCTCGCCTTTCTTCTCATCCACCCTCAATTCCTTTCCACTTCTAAGGGAGATTGCCTTTACATGTTCTATGGGATTAGTCTCGGTATTATCGAGCGGACTACCTTGTTGTCTCTCGAAAAAGGACTTGGCAAGTTGCCCAATTTGTTTCTCAAGATTATGGATAGAAGATTTTGGTTTCTCAATGTTGTTTCGAGTTGCTGAAAACGAGATTTAGATGTTTGAATGAACTTAGTCATAAGCTCTTCCAGTCGAGTTTCTTTTCTCGAGATAAGTTTTGCTACTAGAATCTTGATGGATGATTCTATCTTTACTCGTCCTTGACCTCCTTAAGAGAAATTAGGATGATTTCTCCACCCGGGATTGTAAGCATTGTTGTATGGGTTATTCGAGAATGAGAAGCATTGCCTATGTAATTAACTACTTCCTTGCAATCCTGGATCATATGTCCTCCCCTACACGACTCATACCGCATAACCTCAATCGAGCTGTCGCACTACCGATTGACCATCGATCTTCTTACTCAAAACCTCCACTCGAGCTACTAGAGCCGTGACTACATCTACATCATAAACATTTGCTTGGTTATTTAGTTTTGTTCGGTTGTGCTCCACTGGTAATTGTTCATAGCCATCTACTCTATCAATTCTTTAGTTGTTTTAGGTGTTTTGTTATTTAGAGTGCCTTCGATTGCTTGCATCTATCATCTCGCCTAGTAGCTAGATTCATTCTATTGTAGAAAGTCCGAATTTGCATCCATGTAGGAAGGCCATGGTGTGGGCATCTCTTCAACAAATCCTTAAAGCTGCTCCCAAGTGTCATAAAATGTCTTTGACTCAATACGTGCAAATGAGGAAATATCATTCCTTAGCTTCGCAATCTTTGCGAGTGGAAAGTATTTTGTTAGGAAGTTCTCTGCCATTTGGTTCCAAGTGGTGATAGATCCCCTAGGTAGAGAGTTTAACCATCTGCTTAGCTCTACTCCTCGGTGAGAATGGGAACGAGTCTCAATCCGATAGCATCATATGTAGTCCCATTTATCTTGAATGTGTCGTAGATTTTCAAGAAGTTGGCCAAGTGAACAATTGGGTCTTCATCCTGTAGCCCATCAAACTACACAAGCTGTGGCCTCATTTAAATGATGTTTGGCTTGATCTCAAAATTTTTGGTCTGCAATGACTAGTTTGATAATGTTAGACTCGTTCCTATCAAGTTCGGTGGTCTAGCATAGTCAAACATGATTCTCTTTTCTTCGGCCATGACTATCCGCCGTTCTTCTTCCCTCCGACATACTTTTTCTCTTTCCCTATCCGACTCTTCTTCTCTTTGTTTAAGTCGATTTCTAAGGTTTTGAAGAGTCTGCTCTTTCTATATCGGGATCCGGCCCAACTAATTCGGTTGGGTTGTTACGAATCATGCACTAACAGGCTATTGAAAAAGTAGCACGAACAAAGAAGAGCGTAATTCAAAGAAAACAAGATAAACAAAAATAAAACTAAATAAATATAACGAGAAAATAAAATGGCTAGATTAATAAAAACAAAGTTTTTCTAATATCCTATGTCCCCAACAATGACACTAAAAACTTGATAAATCATCTTCTAACCTATAGACTTTAGGCAAGTGCACTTGTCATTCTATAGTACGATTGATAGAGTATTGAGTGTTGATCCCACGAGACTATGAGTACTAGTAATCACCCTCTTTTTATTATCTAACCAATAAAGTATAGTGATAATGAACAATTAAAAGAAACAATAACTAAAGCGAGATCACGAAATGCAACAAGAATAACGAAAATAGCTAATCGAGCAATCAATCGTAAAGACAATACCTAGATAGTGAATCCCTTTAAGACCTTTTATGTAATCACCATATCATCCGTTTAAACATTCTTTATGTTCATCGAATCGTAGGAATTCCTGAATTATGCTAACTACTTTCTCAAGTTAACTAACACTTAATCCTAAAATGATTAATCGAAATCTCTTTCTAATTAATACCCCTAGGATCGCATTAATTCGTTCTATGAATTCCCTTATTAGATTTGACTCTAATCCGAAAGATTTATGTCGTCCTATCTCTAGGATCGCATGCAACTCTTTTCGATTACGATTGATCTAATCACACTTAGGATTTTTTAGTCTCACATTATGAAATCGAGTATGAATCAACACACTAGCATATGCTAATTCAATTAAACTATAATTGTAACATAATTGAATCACAACAAAAATAAAGATCGAATTGAATAAAGATATTAGATCACATAGTCAATCTTAGGGTTCATTGTATCTAGGTACCAACATAATTTAGTTTATAATCAAAGTGAAGAACACATAAATCTTAAATAGAGAACAATAAACATTCGGGGAAAACCTTTTCACCCCTTTAATCTTAATGCAATTTCCTCGAGAATCGATGGGAATCCACTCCAACGGCGTTATCTTACTCAAAACCTCGCTTTTGTCGTGCCTTAGGTCTTGTTTTCGTCTTTCCCAATCAGCCCCTAAAACCCCAGGTCGCGTTTTAGCTTAAATATGAGAAAAAATACGCATTCCGTAAGACATGGCCCTAGTACACGACCGTGTCTCTTCCCGTGTAATGCAAAATTTTGTTTTTCTCCAAATTGGATAGTTACACGGCCTACTACACGGGTGGGTCTTTGCCGTGTATGCCCAAGTCTCAAAATTTAGATTTTTTCGGTTACACGACCTATTACATGGGTGTGTCTTCGATTGTGTAATTCACGGGTCACTCAAAATTTACTAATTTTGCTTCATTCTTTCTTGGTTTCCATTCATTTTTACCAAGATAACGTAACAAGACCTAAGAACTATAATTTAAGCAAGATAAGTGCCAAAATTATACCATTTATCACCAAAGACAATTAAAAAATAAGAAATTTGACACTAAAAATATGCATAAATGGGCATTTATCACTAATGTATGAGATTGGACGGTGTCAAGACCAAAAAATAGAGAGATCAAGTTAATGCTTTTTTCCAATACATGCCGCCTTTACAACATGACCATGCACTCGCATGTTTACTTTTCAAAGTGATCACAACATGGGTCCCGCAATGCATATTTATTTTTTCAAAGTGACAACAAAATTGCTTCGGAATTGCATATTTATTTTTTAAAAGTGATTGCGACATTGGTCCAATAATTCATATTTATTTTTTCAAAGTGATCGCAACATTGGTTCTGCGACCCATGTTTATTTTTTCAAACATTGGTCTCACAACGCATGTTTATTTTTTCAAGATGATCGCAACATGGTTCTGCAATGCATGTTTATTTTATCCAAGTGATTGAAATATTGGTCCTGTAATGCATATTTATTTTTTCAAAGTGACCGCAACATGGCTCCTACAATGCATATTTATTTATTTATTTTTCAAGATGACCTCGACATGGATCCTCACATTTTTGTTTCCAAGGAAGTTTGGCAAGAACAACCAAACCAATCTAAAAAAAAAACAAAAAATAAATAAATCTTTACAAGCTTATTATATAACGTCATTGAAAAAAAAATTTTCGTTTGAGTTTGTATAATAAGCATCGTAAAGAGAGGATAAGCTGTCATAAACAAAAAATTTCTCATATTTTTGGTTATTTTATTTGTTTCTTACATTTTTATCTCATTTTACCTCATTTAAGAATTTACTACAAAAATACCAAAAAAAAATGGAAAAGGAATAAAAAATACAAAAAAAATATGCACAAAATTCAAAAATACAAAAAAAAAAAAAAACAAAAAACAAAGAAAGCAAAAAATAAAAAATGACTCACTCCTCTCAACCCTAGAAACCTCATATAAAAGCAACATTTCCATTCACTTTAAGGGGGAGACAAGGGTAGCCACAAAAGAGTCACAAAGAGAGCCACGAGGGAGCCTCTATAATTCTCCTTTCTGTCTCAAGAAAACCTAAAAATATAGTCTTTGAAAATAAAGTTGGTAGCCATTTTCATTGAAAATAATGGCCGCCATGGCTCGCCAAACTAGCTCTCATCCTCTATGTCTCTAACCTCTCCCCTCAAACATAGTCACGAGTAACTACATCAAAACCCTCATCACCATCTCCATAGTTGGTAAAAAAAAAAAAAAAAAAAAACTCAATAGTAGTGGCCAAACATAACGACCAACTCCATAGCCACTACCCACACCATCCTTACCCGGTTCCTCCATTACCCAAAATACACCTCCACAAACCTTTTTTCTCTCACCTATGAGCCCATCATCCTCTTCTCCCTCACTATCCCACACTTAGATGAATCTCACATATCATCCCGAGCTTCCCTTTCCCTATAACTTGTCCAAGTAATAACTATTTTCACCACTCCCTCATTTTCTCTTATACTTGCAAAGAAACCATCACCTCTAGCCTTCACCATCACACAAGATAAGTAGCCCCCTTTATGGTTATTATTCCCGCATAACATTATCACTAGCAGTTCCTACCCAATACCCTCAAAACCGAGTGTCTAGTTTCGATGCTCAATACCAAACATCCCATATGTAAGACATCTCTATGGTGACATCAAAGCCGAGCATAGCTATAAGCAAGCCAAGCACCACTAGGTCAATCAATGAGTCCCTCTCTACTAGGGACTCGCCTTCACCACAAACTCCAACATAATCAACACAAAAGTCGGCCTTCATTTTTCTTGAGCCTTAAACACCAACCTCTCCAAAACTATCCTCCTTTTTTCACCTCCATTTCTCGTGTCTTCCAAGGATAGATTTCCATCGACGTAAACCTACACAAACCAATAGCCTCATCCACACCAACACCAATCTTGTCAATCCCACTCGCCCCTCTCTATGTTGCACCAAAAAATAGAAAAAAAGAAAAAAAATAGAGAACGAGAGGTTGTTGGGGGTCTCTAACCAAAGCTCCTCACCCTTTCCCGGTATTCGTCGTCCTTACAAAGCCTTAAAATCAAACCAATAAGAACCTTATTCCCTTATAAGCAAACACCCAAACACTTGGCATACATTTCCCCCCAAACCATCATCATTACCATATCTTATTGTCACAATCCCATTACCCATTGGTAGTGTACTCGATTCCACCACCATCAACGCCCACTCCAACTTTCTCTATAATTGCCAAACCTCTTATCATAAAATCCATCACAATCCCTCGTCCAAATTCATTTAAACCCAGCTCCTTATTGCCTTCATAAATCTTCCACCAAAAATCCAATTGAATCCCCTTCTTCTCGGTTTAACAACCTTTCAATGCCTCAAACCAGCTCTTTTTCTTCTTAAGACTTCAAGCCGAGCGACTCTAGGTCTCCATAAATCCTCCATCACAATAGACCTATGCCCTCTCAATCGACACCCGAGTAGCCATCCTCATTAGTAAAACCACAACGACCCCATCCGCTCTTAATCCATCCTCCATCGCCAATACCATAAATCCTCCCGGTTGAAACCCACCACAAAAAGGAAGTCGTTTACAAATGGAAATCGGAGGGGAGTTTTCGAGTCATGTTAGAACGGATAGGTAGAGAAGAAGGAGAGTGGTTGTGCGATTTCGACGGAGTTTCAAAAAATAGAAAGAAGTAGAGAAAGGGCGAGAGAAGGTGAAGAGAGGATGAAAGAAGGACAATAAAACAAAAGAGAATGTGAGAGAGAGGAAATGGGAAAGTTTTGATGGCACTATGAAATCCAAAAAAGAAGAAGAAGAAATAAGTAAAAAGGAAGGAGGAGAAATCAAGCCATCCTAACTAGTTTGAAAAAGGAGGGACGAGAGAAAGAAGACGAAAAGTATAATGTCTTGATTTTGTTAAATTGAATTTGGTCTAAGAAACATGTCACACTATTGGAAGTTTGGTTTTCTCGTTAAAGATAAAAAAGGGAAAGGGCTAGAATCCCAACCTATGGGGTGGTTTGGCGTGGCCAAGGCTAGGCTAAAATCAGCCTAGCCCACATAGCCTGAGCTTGGGCTGGTTGCAACCCGACCCAAGCTCAAAAAAATAAAAAATAAAAAAAGAAAAAGAAAAGAAAGGGACCAACGATCTATGTCCAATGGATCAATGGCCCATTAACAAAAAATAAAAATAGGGCCTTAATTTTATTTTTTATAGATTAATTCTGAATTTTATTTTATACATGCTATTTTATTTTATGTTTAATTTAAATTTCATATTTGAATTTATTTAATTAATATAATTTTTAATTTTATTTGAAAAATTATCATAGGTGATTAATAGGTGGATGAACTATCAAGTCTCTTATTTTTAGGGACTAATGACGATTCTCTATCAATAAAAAAAACAAATAAAAAAATAAAAAAATGTTAATAATTAATTTTTTTTTATGATTTTGTTTCAAAATTAATTTAGTAGTTAATAAGTAGGTGAATTGTAGAGTCTCTTAAATTCATAGGGATCGATGACAATTTCTCTTGTAATGTCAATAATTAGATTAATAACCAATAGATAGGTTAATCGTCGAGTCTCTAAAATCCTTAGGGACCGAGGACTATTTCTTTTCAAGATGTAGATAATTAGTTTAAATAACAAAGAGGTGGGTGAATTTTCGAGTCTCCTAAATTCTTAGGGATCGATGACAATTCCCTATTGAATAATGAGTCGCCTACCTTTAAATTTGCTTGAAAAATTTGGGTTTGAATCGAAATAACTTGGCATAAATAAAAGATTTAGGGAGGGAATTTAAGACTAAACTAGATGTGGTGCATTTTTTAGGAAAAGGTGTTTTTGGGTAACCGTTGTCTTTCGTCTTCCTAAAGCGTAATCAACTCTTTACAATAGAATCTCTACATCGATGCTTATTTTAGGTTCCTAGTTTTCTTAAATACTAGGTGGAAACTCCAAATACAATAATAACTCACATCCCCGAAATCCCTATAAATAAGATGCACACCTTTGTAAACCTATGAAAACCTAAAATTTTTCGGGAGTCCCGTCGACGTCGTGTAGTGACAATGTAGGTGAAGGTAGTTCTAGTGAACCTCAAAACCTATTTTAAACTATGGTAATGGATGCAGCCATATGTTGAATGTATCACATAGAGAGATTTGGCTTGGTTGTAACGAGCACTCGTAATTGTTAGTAATTGCTCGAATGTCGAATCTAAAAGCTGAATATCATTTTCTAGAGAAGTGTTTCAACCGGTTATATGAGTCGAAGGAGTTGATGCAAGTTGCTAATTGTATTATAGATAATTTTTATGAAATGGAGAAGTTAGTTAAGGGGTGGGTTTACTATTGGAAAAAACTTATTGTTGTTAGAATGGTTGTATGATTTATTGAAAGGAAGAAAATGAATTAACTAAATTCAAATTCTATCAACATCCTTGATATCAAAGTTCCCATTGAGGATTAAAAGGAGGAAAAGTTGTTCTAATTAAAAAAATATATTATTTCCTTCTAACTCTACATGTGCATAGATTGTATGCATCGAATGCAACAGTTGAGCACTTGATGTGGCATGTCAAACATAAGGGAGATGATGTTGGAATAATATATCATCCCTTCAATTATTTTTTATGGAAAAGTTTCAATTAGATTAATCTTCTTTTTTAGCTGAAAGAAGGAACATCGGATTAAGAGTGTGCACTAATGGGTTTCAACTATTTGGTTAGTCCGATGTACAACATTCCTCATGATTGGTCATTATGACTCCATAAAATTTGCCACCATGGATGTGTATGAAGGAGGAATATATGCTCCTAGCGAGTGATTGCTTCGGGTTTAATAAATTCGAAACATAAATTGGATTTTTACTTACAACCTTTAATATCCGAACTTATCCAATTATGGGAAATGAGAGTGATGACCTATGATGTGTACTTGTAAGTAGAATTTTTTATTGAGAGCTACGGTTATGTGGACTATTAATGACTTTCTTGGATATTCGATGTCTGTTCGATTTGAGTACTCGTAGGAAAACAAGCTTATCCTTACTCGTATAAAAAATTCAAATGTTTTCTCCCTTCCTAATGGTAGGAAGACCTCCTAGTTTGACAAACATCAAAATTTTCTTCCTCATGACCATCCATATAAAAGAAACAAGAAAGCATTCATCATAAAAAAAAAATCGTTAAATCTAGCCCTCCTCTAATCTAATTTAGAGTAGAGATGTTATATTTGATGGGACGAGTAGGGGTTGTTGAACATGATAAAAGATGGTGCATAGATCATAATAGTAGAATCTTTCAAATATTTGGATGGAGGAAACAAAGTTTTTTTTTCGGGATTTGCCTTACTAGAGTATAAATCTCATTCGACATAATTTAGATGTCATATATATTAAGAAAAATATGTTTGACAATATTTTTTAACATAATCATGAGTTAGAAATTTTACGTAAAAGGCGGAATTAACAACGGATGATGCATCTAAAAGGTATCCTAAAGCTGCATTTACTTTATCCGAACAACAAAAAACAAAATTGCTTGAATAGATAAAACAACTCAATTTTCTCAATGGATATGTGTCTAATCTAGCTAGATGTGTTGATATGTAGCATGACAAATTTTACGGGATAAAAAGTCATGACTGTCATGTCTTCATGCAAAGGTTACTTCCAATTGCATTTCAAGAGTTTTTGCTAAGAAATGTTTGACAATAACTTACGAGTTGAGTTTATTCTTTAAGCAATTGACTTCTACAATGATAAAGGAAGAAGATATATTATGGCTTAATGATGAGATACCCATTATTTGTGTAAACTAGGACGTATATTTCTACCAAGCTTTTCCGACACTATGGAACATCTTCCAATCTATCTACCATATGAGGCATCTATTATGGGACTCGTCTAATATCGATAGATGTATTAATTTGAAAGGTATTGACATTGAATTTAAATGTTAAATTAAATAAATTTCTAACTTTTGAAAATTAAAATAATTTATATTATAGTTATTTACAAAAGCTAAAAAATAATGTTAAGAATAAGGATAAAGTGGAAGGATCAATATGCAATGCATATTTGGTCAAAGAAGCCTCTTTATTTTCCTCACATTATTTTGGGCCTCATATGCATACTAGGTATTAGAAAGTGTCACATAATGTTGACTACTATGATGGAGAAAAAAGCAACCACATTGAAGGGATGTTATCCATATTCAAACAATAAGATTGAGTAATTGGTTGAGACACGATACGAAAATTGACACTACTCGAATATAAAGTAGCCCATCAATATATATTGTTGAATTTTGAAAAAGTAAAACTTTACATTGAGTGAGTTTATCAAAATTCAAATTCTAGATCATACCTATTTTATTACCTATAATAACATTAGCAACATAATAGAGACTAATCATATTTATTGTTAATTCTCTTCTCTTAAGTGGATTTCTTATAGAAATGCGACCGAACAATCCTTTCATGTCCGAGAAGGAGGTCGATGCTCTAATTAAAAATGTGTTTATCTCCTGATTTAATCAATATATAAGCATTATCATTTTATTTGTATTTAGTTTATTGATAGCATTCATTAAAAGATAACTAAACTTTTAGGGGATTTTATGTTTAATTTATAGACATAAAATACACAAGCAATTTTCATGAAAGATCTCGTTCTTGAAAGATCTTACCCAAGGCCCATTGCTTATTGTAAGATTATATAGTAGTTATTTTGTTAACGATTATAGGTTACGCATACTTAAGGAATCTTCGAAATAGTCTTTCACTAGTGGTGTACGCATTAAAGGAAGCAATTACGAGTACAACTAAGAGTGACTATTATAGGATACCGACAGAAATTCTTGAAGTAGAGTATCCTACATTACCAATCAAGAGAACAATATTGTTCAAATATAATTGGTTCAATCCTACTCGTAATGAATAAGGGTTCATCTACGAGTACAAACTTATAGATGTTAACTTTAAGAGAACCTTAAATAATTACAAACCATTTGTCCTAACATCACGAGTCGACTTAGGTGTATTATGTGAAGTATCTTAGCTTAAGGTATGAGAATCAAAATTGATAGGTTGTGTATAAGATCAAAGCTAGGTTTGTGTTTGACTTTCCCGATTCATCATCTACCATCCAATAAAATATTGAACCATTTCAACAAGACGATCTGGAAATCGACATGAATTGATAGAGGAAGTCGAGGGCATCAATTTGTTGATTGATCCAAATGGATCGTTTGTAAATATAGAAGTATGCGTGATTGACAAAGATGATGATAATGAGGGTGAAAGTACATCGGATGATGGATATGATAACTTAAACGAGTGATTATGATAGCTCTAATTAAATATATATTTCATTTATTGTATTAGTAAGAAATGATGTAATTTTTGTTTCTTTAATAATTTATTATACGTAGTTAATAATATCGATTTTCATAGATCCACTAAATAGTCATTGTGTATTTTGATTATTTTGTATCCATAGAAAATGATGTATTTTATATTTACTTATTAATTTA